AAGAAATTATTAAGAATATGTATTAATGTCAGTCACTTTAAACATTTTAAATAGTCTGAACATTAACTGTGCTTGCAGATAAAAGAAAAGTTTTAGTTAAAACGTGCTTTTAAAAGTTTGTTAAAAAATGGCGCTGTTCTTAAAAAGTAAAAAGAAAACTGCTGTACTTAAATCTTAAGTATTCATAGTAGCCTATTCATCAAAAGCTGGAAATGCTGCTTGGACCTTATGAATATAGGCTATATGTCATATTCATACACTTTCAGACAAATCTTGAAATAAATGTTAAATGTACATATGACAGGGTTCATACAGGCACAGCCTAATGAAAATTAATTCCAGCACCTATTTTTTTTTTTCCAAGACTGACATGCTATGTATTGAAGACCTGAAATGTATTCTCAGCAACCCATAAAACATTGCATAGGAATAGATACAAATAAAAACCATTAATAATAATATTTATTAATCATATATTAATAATATAATAAACCTGCACTAAATGCTTGTGAAATCTTTTTGTACTCAAGTAAAAATACTATTACACTGCTAAAATAACACAAATTTTTGTAAATAATGCTAATATTAGGTAAAAGTACAAAGTACTCTTTTAAAAAGTACTAGTTGGTTACTTTTGAAAATAAAAAATCAGATTTTCATTATGAAATCATTTTTTTAAGTGTAAACCTGATTTAATGGTTTGATTGCTTAAATCCCAAAGCTACATGTATAGGAATTTGCACTAAAATAGGAAGTATGGCCGATTTTTTCTTTCATGACAATTAATCTTTTTCAATAGAACTGGTAAAACTACCAAATAATCTTTAAGGCCATAGAGACACTTTTTGCCCATTTTTAAAAAAAGATATTTTTAAGCTTTGAAAGGTTAAATTAAAGTATATGGTAAAAAGATTTTTATTTAGCCTTTTATTTACATATTTTACACTATTTTTCTTTACAATATGGCAAATTTGTTTCTTAAATAGCTGTCCATCACATGTAGATTTTATTTTACACTTGATCTTAATCTAAAATAGAAACTTAAAAAAATACAAGTACACTGTCAGTAAAAAATAAAACAAAAGACTTTATTTTACTTGAGGTATTTGAAATATGACAACACTACACTTATCATAGCAGTGCTTTAAGAGCCTTATTGTAAATGTTGATAAATAAACAATAAGTAACAATGGATTGCTTTGACCTGTAATGCTTTAACACAGATCAGAATACAGCTAAATGTATAAATCACACAAATACCTCACCCAGAAACATTTCCAGCATAATTATTTTGTCGTAAAGAAATAAAAAAAGATCCACCTTTGCTAAAAGTAAGTTTCACTTGACAACACAGCCAAATAAGAAGACCATTAGCATTGTCATCGATTATGCATCAATCTATTTTTAAATATTTGATAACTTTGAATTCTTTTGACTAAATTTAGTCAAGGAGCAAAGATAAATAATGTCTACTTTAATAGTGGAAAGATCGCGATTGTATTCAATCTGAGCACACAGGCGATCCTGAGAGGACTTGCAGTTCATTTGAAAAAAGCATATTTAAGAGCTCACATATCTGTTTTAGCGATTTGCGTACATGAATGCGCTCTCGTGTTAAAATAAAGCACTCGCCGCATTTCCAGAAATGAGTAATTGCGCAATACCTTCATTCCCGCGCCGCCATTCAGAATGTATTTAGAGGAGTGACAGGTCAGAGGCGAGTCGACTGGCTGTCGGAGAGCGAAACGTGTTTGTAGATCATCAAAAAGGCAGGAAATATGTCCGCGGTTTAATTTCTCAGCTAGACATCTCTATAGTGAAAACATCCGAGAAGCATTATTCCAACAAAACTTTTGTTTTTAAGTTGTTTTTTCTGTCTCTGCAACACAAAATGCCTTTGTCCCACCCTTACATTTTACGCAACTAGACAAGGTCGACTGTGATTGGCTACTTTTCATGTCAGTCAAATCACGCTCCAGAATCCATTCTTAAACTTCGGAAACTGATTTTCAGCAGCTTATGACAAAATACACTAAAATAAACACTCTAAGCACAGCGCTGTGATCGTACGCTTCACAAAAAAGCCAATGCTGATCACATCGATGTTATATTACACATTAAAGGATTAAAAGTGTTAATATTTCTTTCATTATACAGCGATTCCTCCGCGTACCACTAGGAGGAAGCCCGCGTACCACTAGTGGTACGCGTACCACAGTTTGAGAACCACTGCACTAGAGGATTTTAAGCCTGATTTGAGCCCGATTTGGAAGTTAACAAGCTTGCCGACAGATCCGGCTGTGATCAGGAAGAAATCTGTGGGTGCTCGGCGCTTGCCGCTCTTTATGTGTGAACTACTGAACCACGCATCAACAAGGCTCGCTGACGCGTCGCCGACACCGCGCAGACGGAAATCCAACAATTAGCATGCTGCATATTCCAGAGCAGTCGGCCGACTCAACCCCACGTGTGGTCCGATGTAGTGATTAGCTGCAGCCAATGAGAGAGCATATCAGCATGAGCTGAATGGCTGTGTGTTCAGGAGCTCAGCAGAAACATCTGTGATTGGTCAGAATGGGCATCAGTGCACTCGCTTCATTCTGCGTTAACACAGACATGAGAGTAGGCTATATTAACAGTGGAACTAGAATTGTGTAACTATTAGAATTACCATACTGCTCATTCTGACCGTTCTCATATAAAACGCCATACTGTCACAACATATTTACATTCAAAACTATTATTGAGATATTAAAATTAAGCTTTGAATGTCTGGCATCATATTTAATGACACCATTACCCTAAAAATATAATCTTTTTTGGCAATGCAGCCTATAAATATGTAGTTAAGATACTAAAACACTTAAAGGCTTGGCTTTCATTTTCACTTTCAATATAAATATGTTAAATAGATATGCAAAGAGTTATAAAATTACAAAAATTAAGAACTCTCTGTGTATCTATCCACTGGAACCTTGCAGATGAGTGATTAATGCGCTGATAAATCAGCTGATTTGACGATGTTTTTAAAAATGCTTTCTCCAAAGCTTGAAACGCTGTCAGTGATGTAATCAGCACACAAGCAGCCATTAGTGTTCAGCTTTTTCTGACGACTCCTCCCTCAAAATTTCATTGGCTGTGGTTTGGTAGCTTGAATGAGCTGTTGGGGAATGAGTTGTTGTCAGGTAGTCAGGTTATCATGTAGTGTGTGACCCCCCCCTCTTGTGGATCGTTCACAGAGTGTTGCGTAGTGTGAACACCACAGAGATTAAAAGACACAAAGTCAAGTCATGTAGTGTGAACGGCACAGCGATCTGCTGATGTTTAAAATCCTGTAGTGTGAACTAAGCTTAAGGCTTAAATCTGTAAGTGTACAGTGTTTAAAACTGTTGATTCCTATTTAGTTTCATTTCTAAATGTTTGTATCACACAAAAACTTTAGAAACTCACATCTGGTCTGAGCCCCCCCTCGGAGAATTGTCATTCTATAGCGATCGCTGATTGGCTCCTGTACTAGAAGGCGGACTTTATTCACCATATAGCAATCGCTGATTGGCTCCTGTACTAGAAGGCGGACTTTATTCACGATATAGCAATCGCTGATTGGCTCCTGTACTAGAAGGCGGACTTTATTCACGATATAGCAATCGCTCCTGTACTAGAAAGCGGGCTTTATTCACCATATAGCGATCGCTGATTGGCTCATGTACTAAAAGGCGGGCTTTATTTACCATATAGCAATCGCTGATTGGCTCCTGTACTAGAAAGCGGGCTTTATTTACCATATAGCAATCGCTGATTGGCTCCTGTACTAGAAGGCGGACTTTATTCACGATATAGCAATCGCTCCTGTACTAGAAAGCGGGCTTTATTCACCATATAGCGATTGCTGATTGGCTCCAGTACTAGAAGGTGGACTTTATTAACGATATAGCAATCGCTCCTGTACTAGAAAGCGGGCTTTATTCACCATATAGCGATTGCTGATTGGCTCAGTACTAGAAGGCGGACTTTATTCACGATATAGCAATCGCTCCTGTACTAGAAAGCGGGCTTTATTCACCATATAGCAATCGTTGATTGGCTCCAGTACTAGAAGGCGGACTTTATTAACGATATAGCAATCGCTCTGTACTAGAAAGGCGGGGCTTCCTTTGCCATATTGAATGTTATACTTTTCCCCATTCAAAAGTATACGAGTGACATGTCTTGTGTATTCTATAGTCTTTTTTGTTTAAGCTGAGCACTGTATATGGAAAGCAGCATCCCAGCTGAGTGTGTGTGTGTGTGTTTGTGTGTGGTATTTCAGCGTTACCCTCAGCCGCGCGGGCAGAAGAAGAAGAAGGTGGTGAAGTATGGGATGGGCGGCATGATCGTGATGCTCCTGATCTGCATCGTCTGGTTTCCTCTGCTCTTCATGTCTCTGGTCAAATCTGTGGCAGGAGTGGTTAACAAGCCTCTGGAGGTGTCCGTCTCGCTCACGCTCGGAGGACTCCAGGTAAAATGCCAAAAATATTCACACACTTTTGCCACACAGTGGTTTAAACTACTTATTAAAGTGATTTTTGCATAATAGATTTCCATCAAGACTATTTATAAGACAAACATGATCACTGCCATTTTTTAAGAAGTTGAGACTTTAATTAAATAATTTAATCTATTAATTAAAACTAGAAAAGTAAAGCTCGGCAAACTTTATGGTGGCTTGAGAAATCCCAGTCTGAAAGTTTGAAGTAGTTTTAAAGTTTAAATAATTACAGTAAATTTTAAGAAGTTTGAAGCAGCTGGCATAAAGCGATCACTAAACTACACTAGGTTAGCATGTTACTAGTATGGATTGGCATGTTTCTCGCTAGGTGGTTGAAAGGGGGTTCTGAGTGGTTGCTAAGCGGTTGCCAAGGCATTTGTAGGCAGTCTCTAGGTTGTTCTGAGTGGTTGCTAGGGTGTTGCTACTCAGTTGTTTGGTTTTTCTGAGTGGTTGTTAAGGTGTTGCTAAGGTGATCTAGGTGGTTGCTAAAGTGTTGCTAGGCAGTTGCTTGGGTCTTCTAAGTAGTTGCTAAGGCATTGCTAGGGTGTTCTATGTGGTAACTAAGATGTTGCTAGGCGGTTGCTAAGGTGTTTTGAGTGGTTGCTAGGTGTTTGCTAAGGTGTTACTAGGTGGTTGCTAAGGTGTTCTAGGTCATTGCTAAAGTGTTGCTAGGTGGTTGGTAGAGTGTTCTGAGTGGTTGCTAAGACATTGCTAGGTGGGTGCTATGGTGTTCAAGGTGGTTGTTAAGGTGTTACTATGTGGTTGCTAGGGTGTTCTGAGTGGTTGTTAGGCGGTTGCTAGGGTGTTGCTAGGTGGTTGCTATGATGTTCTAGTTCGTTGCTAAATTGTTGCTAGGGTGTTCTGAGTGTTTGCTAGGGGATTGCTAAGGTGTTGCTAGGTCGTTGCTATGGTCTTCTGTCATTGCTAAGGTGTTGCTAAGTGGTTGCTAGGTGGGTGTTTTAAATTGTTGCTACGCGGTTGCTAGGTGGTTGCTAAAGAGTTCTAGGTCATTGCTAAAGTATTGCTAGGTTTTTGCTAGGGTTTTCTGAGTGGTTGCTAGGTGATTGCTAAGACATTGCTATGTGGTTGCTATGGTGTTCTAGGTAGCTGCTAATGCATTGCTATGGGTTTGCTAGAGTGTTTTGAGTGATTGCTAGGCAGTTGCTAGGGCATTGCTAGGTGGTTGCTAAGGTATTCTAGGTCATTGCTAAGGTGTTGCTAGGTGGTTGGCTTTCTCAAGCCACCATAGTTATCCAGTCGTTCTTCAATTATTCTCTGTGGAACTGATGTTGTGTATGTCTTTCCTATGGGATTTGTTCTAACCTCAAGTTGTTTACAGTTTGTATACTAACAAGGCTCTCTTTTCCTCCTCCTTGTGTGTTTGACATTCTGTCCTCCAGCCGATCTTCACAATGAGTGCCCAGCAGAACCATATCAAATCCGTCACTGGGGCAGAATTTAAGAAGTTCACAGATCACTACAAGTCTAACGCAGTAAGTGCCTGTTGTCAAATTACAGCCGATACTATGTGTTTTAGGACAGTGTTTCTCAACCACATTCCTTGAGGACCACCAGCACTGCATGTTTTGGATGTCTCCTTCACAGCTTTAAGGCACTGCAGTGTCCCTGTATCTGCAGTTACACGCAGTAAACAGCTGTTCGGTGAACTGATGACTTTTAGAGTCATTTCAATTGAGCACATGAACTTAATGGTAAATCAGCGCAGTTTAAGAATGCGATCAAATGTTAGCAGGAAATGGACGTTTTTAAAATTTCAGTACAGATTGGTATGGAATTCCTGTATCGTGACAACACTACCAGTATCGTCCGAACAGTTGATGCTCACCATTGACTTCTATATTACCATTACCAGTTGTTTTTGCTCTGTTTACCTTTTGGTCCATCTAGACCAGGGGTCACCAAACTTGTTCCTGGAGGGCCGGTGTCCTGCAGATTTTAGCTCCAACCCTAATCAAACACACCTGAACAAGCTCACCAAGGTCTTACTAGGTGAAACAATCAGGCAGGTATGTTGAGGCAAGTTGGAGCTAAACCCTGCAGGGACACCGGCCCTCTAGGACCGAGATTGGTGACCCTTGATCTAGACTGAAACAGATCACCAGTACTTCCAAACTAAAGCAGGGTCTTATTTTCAAAATGCTCCATTTTCACGGGTTGAAGATACTTTAGCTGTGTGGAAGCCAGGCGTAATCATGATAAAAATTGTGCAATTCCAAGTGAAGTTTATTCATAAACTAATTTCAAGAGGATCACGTGCTTATGATTGACACGGCTGGCCCCGAGTCAAGCTAATGTACGAACCACCAATCAGACTATTCCTAACCCAGTATAAATAACCAAGCATCTTACCTTTAGTCATCTTCGTCTTGAAGAATCCCCCCCTTCCACCCCCTCTCCTCCTCTTTTCTCTATAGGGCAGCACGGCGGCCCAATGGCTAGCACTGTGGCCTCATAGCAAAAATGCCTCCGGGTCGGGTCTCTACTCAGCCGGACAGCATTTCCATGTGGAGTTCATGTTTTCCCTGTGCTTGCATGGGTTTTCCCCGGGTCCTCCGGTTTCTTCCCACAATCCCAAAAACATGACACTTAAGTAAAATGACTACCAAATCAGCACCATATTCAAATCCATCAACAACACACCACCTTAGCAATCCTTAAGCAGCAGGAGAGGGGGGGGGGGGTTCTTGAGATCTACCTGAGCTCAAACTCCCCTCTCCCCCTGCAACGGGAGGGAGCCCCGGGCTCAAGGATCTCAAGAGCTCAAGGCTCTCTCCCAGGTAGCATGCCAAACTAGCTTATTACCAATCGTCAGCTAAGTGTGAACTCTTGAAATATAAACGCACTGGTGTAAACAGAACCTAAGATGCTTGTGTCTCCTGCAGAATGCCATCATGTTCCTGGAGTCGTATTTTCCTGAGGATCTGACAATAGCACATCTAGAGGGAAGTTCAAACTCACTCTGGACCATCAGCCCCCCGAGCAAGGAAAACCTGAAGAATATGCTCAATGACACGAGAGAGCCGTTTCCTCTCACCTTCACCTGGTCCATTCAAAGGTAAAGTTTCACACAGAATGCTTTTAAAAGCTCCAGGTCAGATTTTTTTGAAGCGTTAAAATGATCGGAGTTACTGAATGTATTGAACTTACTGCCATGCTCAAGCAACCAATTTGAGACAAGTGTGCAAATTAGTACCTCAGACATACATGCTAAAAAAAAGTGTACGAAAGTGTCTTTGAGTTACCAATATGGACGTTTAGGTACAAATATGTACCTTTTGAAAAGGTACCGCACCACTGACAGCTCTTGTACAATCCTTGCCATGTCTACAGGGTGGGCCATTTATATGGATACACCGTAATGAAATGGTTGGTGATATTAACGTCCTGTTTGTGGCACATGTGAGGGGGCAAACTTTTCAAGATGGGTGGTGACCATGGCAATTGTCTATGGTGTGAAAATACAAGATGTGCAGCACCTAAAACTACGGACACTGGAACCCTGTGCTGGCGTTTCTCCTGCGATGTTGCTATCAGTGTGTGAAGAGTGGGAGAAGAGGGTTGCATTGACAATCCAACACAATGGGCAGCACATTGAACACATTTTATAAGTGGTCAGAAACTTGTAAATAACTCATGAAAGAATAAAGTTACGTTGAAACCAAGCACACCATTGTTTTTCTTGTGAAATTCCCAATCAGTTTAATGTGTCAAATGACCCTCTTCCTATTGAAAAAAAGAAAAGTTGGATCCAAGATGGCCGACTTCAAAATGGCCACCATGGTCACCACCCATCTTGAAAAATTTCCCCCCTCACATATACTAATGTGCCACAAACAGGACGTTAATATCACCAACCATTCCCGTTTTATTAAGGTGTATCCATATAAATGGCCCACACTGTGCATATATTTGCATTAAAGGGATAGTTCACCCAAAATTAAAATTAATCCACTATTTAATCTCCCTTAAGTGATTCCAAACCTTTATTCAATTCAATTCAATTCAGCTTTATTTGTATAGCGCTTTTACAATGTAGATTGTGTCAAAGCAGCTTCACATAGTAGATCATAGTAAATTAAAACAGTGTAGTTCAGTTTTCAGAGTTTAAGTTCAGTTCAGTTTCACTCAGTTCAGTGGGGTTTAATAATCACAACTGAGAGTCCAAACACTGAAGAGCAATCCATCAATGCGCAGCTCTACAGATCCCGAACCATGCAAGCCAGTGGCGACAGCGGCGAGGGAACAAACTTCACCAATTACCAAAAGTGATCAATTAAAAAACCTAGAGAGAAACCAGGCTCAGTTGGGCACGACCATTTCTCCTCTTGCCGAACGTCTTGTGCAAAGCTGCAGTCTAGGCGCCGGAGAAGCTGGACGTCAGCGAGACTCGTCTGTCCCTTGAGCATCACAGGAATCAGTCTCATGCTCTCCACTCCTCCATGACCACCACAGTAGCTGCTCAGGATACGGCCTGGTCCAGGATTATGGAAACCTTGGCATCATCTCGTCGCTGGGCTTGGATTGAATCTGTGGCGCTTCATAGTCTGAGGGCCTCGGGATGAGTATCCCCAGGTGGAAATAGAGAATAAAGGAATAATTAGCATAGCTGTTGTTCATAGTGTATATAAACGAGATGTAAAAACCTGTGTGGGGCACATTCATGTATCATACCGCTAAGTGATGCACTGAGTTTGCTTTAGATCAGTGGTTCTCAAACTGTGGTACGTGTACCACTAGTGGTACGCAGGCTTCCTTCTAGTGGTACGTGGAGGAATGAAATATGTCTTGTACATACTACACACATTTACTATCACAACAAAATTGATCAAAAATTGTTTATATAATATGCCATATATGACATTTTAGCCTATATTTCTGAGGTAATCTGCCACGTTTTTTTAACTGTGCAGAGTTGAAGCTGCTTTACTGGGCCTACTACACTATGCTGTATTTCAATACTGCTCATTTTGGTGGTACTTGGAGAAACAATTTTTTTCTGAGGTGGTACTTGATGAAAAAGGTTTGAGAACCACTGCTTTAGATGAATTGCAAGAGTTTAAGCATCGGACATTATCAGGAAGTTTATTCTAGAGTTTAGGAGCCATAAATGAAAATGCTCAACCTCCATTACTCGACATAGAATTTTTAGATCTTAAAGAGCGGGTTGGATTGTAGCGAGACCGAAGATTGGTTAGATAAACAGGAGCTAGATTATTTAAAGCTTTATAGCTAAGAAGCAACATTTTAAAATCATTATGACAACTAACTGTGTAAGGAGGATAAAATTGGGGTGATATGATCATATTTTCTAGACCTGGTAAGAACTCTGGCAGCTGCATTTTGTACTAGTTGAAGTTTGTACATAGAGGATGCTGAGCAGCCAGCAAACAGAGCATTACAGTAATCCAGCCTGGAAGTCATAAAAGCATGGACTAGCTTTTTTTGCATCTGAGATGGATAGCATACTTTGTAACTTCGTAACTAATATTTCTCAGATGAAAGAATGCAGTTTTTGTGACATGGAATTTATGATTTTCAAAAGTTTATAAGCTCTTTTCCTCTGTTGGACAGAAAATAAGATATTTTGAAGGATGTTAAAAACTGGTTACTGTTGACTTCCATGGTAGGAAATTAAGTACAGGTTTCCGACCTTTTTCAAGGTATCTCTTTCTGAGTTTAATAGATGAAAAAAATTACAGCAATTTTGATTTTGGGTGAACTATCTCTTCAAAAAGCAGTTGTGCTATGGTATATTAATCACACAAACATGAGGTTTTCATGTCAAGTTGAGGAATTTTTGTGTGTTCTGCATTGCTGTGTTTGTACATCAGGAACCTCAGTTTAGGTGCCAAAGCTGAAACTGCAATGGGGAAATACTTCATTGAGCTGGACGACGAGACTAGAAAAGGTCTAACTGATCAACTGGGGAATAGCAGCCAGCGTGTGTGAGTTCAAACTTCTAAATGTCCTAAATAGTATTTAGTTTTCTTGTATTTAGAATTAGTATGCTCCAAATTATAGCATGTTGAAATGAGTATTACAGAGTTATAGATGGTCTACTATTTCCAGTAGAAATCCAAAGTGCTGATGTGTGTGAACTCTGACTGCTAATATTGCTCATAATACAGTTCATATTCGATGAGAATTTGATTAGAACTACAAACACACAAAAAAAAGATCTTCAGATCTCCTCATTCACCACCAGTGTGCAGAATCCACCTGGTAGATGTGACAGCAGCTATATAAACAGGTTGAGCACCCCCTGCTGGCCTCACTAACACCACTTCCAGCCGCAACCTGATTTCACATGTGTTCTTCCATCCAGGTACTGACCTGGCGCAGCGCTGCTTAGCTTCAGTGAGCCACCATGTGAGAGTTGCAGAGAGCTAGCTGCCAGTAATGATTGGTAATTTCTATCTGAGCACAGAAAATTTGCCTGTGTACATTTTACACCACAGGTGTTGAATTTAACAATTTTCTGGTGTCTATATGAGTCCTACCAGCCAAGTGTCCAGGTTACACTTTCAAAAGTGTTGAATATATACACCTCTGTGCAGTGTAAAATATTTTATACTCACAGTGTAAAACTGCACACCACATTCAACATGTTAACACCTGCAGGGCAAATTGTCCAGTGTACACATAACTCCACAGGTGTTAAAGGGCACCTATGTTAAAAAATCTACTTTTCAAGCTGTTTGGACAGACATGTGTAAGTGTAGTGTATATACTGTCATATTGGGGTGATATAAACACACCCAGTGCTTTTTTTTTTTTTAATTTAACAAGATAAAAACGTTGGACCAATTGGAGCGGTTTTCAGAGCAACTGCAACTTGACGTAGGAGTGCGGTTCCCCTGCCCACCAATATTGATTAACAGATGCGTAACCATATCTTCAGTTTGTCCTTTCACATCCGCCATTTTCAGTGCGAGTCAAAGCGATATTACTAAAGGAACATCCTTGCTCTATTTTTAGATGTAAGGCTCATTGGGCTCAACACAAGATCAATATTCTCCACATTATCGCTCTAATTGGAATTATTGGTTGTACTTTTAGGAAGGTTTACAAACGTGTACTTTTCATTGCGTCTACCTTAAACTTCAGCCGTTTGCATTTCTCACGTTCACAGAAGCTCCCTGTGATCTTAACTAGGTGCAGCTGGAAAAGTGCAAGCGCGTTGCCTTAAGCTCCATTCACACGGGGCTTTACGCTTGACTGAAGGCGTGTCTGAAGTTGGGGCTAACGCGATTGTCATATCAGCGTCAGCCAATGAAATTCAGTCAGCAATAGGCCACTGTCTAGCTGGTGTATGCATACACAGATCTGATTGGCAGACGCTTCCATCAGCGCTTGAAAAGTTGAGCTAGTCCCAACTTCTGCAGCGAGCAGCGCTTTTGAAGCGGCGCCGACGGATCCACAATGCAGTTCGGCAATGCCTGACGTCACCCATTCAAAGCGAATGGGAAGCGTTGAAGCTGACGCCCCGTGTGAATGGGGCGTCATTTGCATCTCTCCATTGGAAATAACATAACAAACTTGCCTGCATGTCGCACACCAGAAACTCCGAGTCACATCTGCTGTAGTGCCATCTTGTGGTTTTCTGGACACTAGTTATATTTTGGTTTGTTCCTGTTTTGTAGTTCACATGATCACTAATTGTTTCCAGCTGTCTGTCATTGTCTAATTATTGTTGTCTTTATAAGCCTTGTTATGTTGTGTTTAGTTTGCCTTTGGACTTTTGCTGTTTGCTCGTGCACCCTGTTCACCCGATTCTGGTCTGTTTTGTCCGCCTCTTATCTTTACCTAGTCTGCTCACTGACTCATAGTTTTGGTTCGTTTGCTTTGTTTCATGTTATGATCATATTTTTGAATTCCTCTTCTAACCTTGTTTGATACACTTTTGTTTATTGGGTTGTACTTTTGTCTCTGTTCGATTTTTGAACCTGGCCTGTCCCCTTCTTTATTATTTAAACTTCCATGCTGCACTTGGATATCTCTTGTATTTTGTAAGCCCATCGTGACACTCCATTCTGCGGTCTGGGGTTTCTGTCGGGGATGCAAGCCGTGGCGCTTCAAGTTGGCGGCTGGGCCTCGCGGACAGCCGCAGACTTGGGGTTGCCAGTGTGTGCCCTGATGGAAACCTGTGTTTAGAGATATAAAATGTGTGGCGTGACGATTCGGGACACTTCATGTTTCTGCCACGCCACAGAGAGTGTCTGGTGTGCCGTGTCGCGGCTTCGACCGGCGCATCCTGTGCCTCAGTCAAAGTTAATTCAGTGTGCGGGGTTATTAGTCTCGGTGTACAAGCTCGGCACTTGTAACTAGCACACAGTTGGCTGTAAAACTATAGAAAGACACAAATTATTTTTTACTCTCTGCTTGGTCTGTGTCCGAGTCGAACATGTGTGGCTGAATGCTGATCCTCTCTCTTCTGCTCCTTCTCTCAGTCTGCCTCTCTGTTGCAAACACAGAGCGGGTGAGCTCTTGGCTCCGCCCCCTTGTTAAGTTGGGCGAGAAGCGAAACTAATTTTTATAAGAAGCAATACGCCCCTAAAATAGCGAGCTGTGAACACGCATCCAACATGACACTTTTTAACACATTATAATAAAAACATCTGAACTGTGTGTTGAACTGAACCTAATCTGGCACACTCAGAAGAACCATAATATAAATATTAAATCATAAAAAGGGAGTAAACTATGTGCCCTTTAAATTATACTCTCTTCTGGTGTATATTCAAGTCCCACCAGCCCAGTGTTTAAGTTACACAGTAAAAAGGGTTGAATATATACACTTAAGCAGAGTATATTATTTTACACTACCCTGTTGACCATATTGACTCAGTCACCTCGAGTTCCCGAATGTGCAATTAACACTGATGAGGAGTATGGAAAGGCAACACCAGAAATGCACACTGTTTAAATCACAATTTAACCCACATCAGCGTTAAAAACAAACCCGAAATTCAACACCTCACAATTTGTTGTAAGCTAATGGAACATTTTTGTTACATGTTTACGTAATTATATTTCATCTGCAGCAACATTGTGGACTTTTATTAATACACATTTAAATAATTCTGCTAGCATGCAAACAGGAAAGACTCGTGACTGACAGATTAGCCTGATGCTGCTGCTTTAATATTGTATGTGGTGGAAATTAAAGATGAAAGAAATGTGGATGATGTGTTCGAGATGATTGACAGGTTATGTAACTAAGCAACAGAACGGTCCATTAAAATGGAAGTAGTTTGTCCCAAAGTTTGCATACTCGTCCGTTATACACCTTTAAAAGTATGTACTTTTTCTTACATATCTTTTTCCTCCTTTTCCTTTACCATTTGAAGAGTTCAGATGCAAAAGCTGCTAAACGCCATTTCCGCCAAAAATGAGATGATGACATTGAGTGAATACTTTAGGCATGTACTACACCATCAAATAGATTTGCTTCATATCATCTAAATCGCAGCGTGAGCGCATTCAGAAATAACAGTTTGTTGGAAAAAGCCACTTACGCCACTTCCCTTTGACAGCAAAAGCCGCTATATCCCGAGAACTATATCAGAAGGCGTGAATAAAATCATGTTTTCAATGTAGCAGCCAATGACTGTAAAAAATATGGACGACGCGACAGCCCCTTTTCCCATTGAACGCCTTGAGGGCAAAACGCCTGCTTGACGGGCACAAACTGTCGCAAAAGACTGCTGAAATTGGAGCCTTGACATGCACAGAAGGACTGTCGGATGGAGCCAGAGGAGGAGCCGCGAAAATGAGCGGAGTCGAGCTTCCAACCAAACGCTTTATGTAAAATAAACCAGGCCCCCTGAACTTCTCAGCATGCGTTTGCTGTCACATCAACACAACTGGATGTAATAACGTTAACAAATATGAGGGTTTTATATATTCAATCGCGCCGGCTCCGGGCCGCAGCGCACATATCCTACTCGCGGCGTCGCGGGCTGATTCCGGCTCGCATGCGGCAGCGCTGGCTCGCTCGGCCGCCGCATCTGGCTCGATTGACTCGGGCTGGAATCGGGCAGTGAGTCCAGGCATCCGGAGTAGGTCCAGCAGAGGTAGTCAGTCTGAGCTCTGAGGGGTAAGTCTCCGGAAAAAAGCCCTGACCTTAGTGAGTAAACAGTGTTCCACCAGGATCATGTATGTCAGAAACTGTAGTTTACTGCTGAACTCATTTTGTCATGGTAAAATAACATAGAAATCGAATAATAACATTTCAGTCTCCTGCCGAAGCTCAGACGCGCTGCTTTGAGAAACTGTCAATCACAGCTGTCAATCACGATGACACGCCCAGCATTAAATTACTGCTAAAAACAAACTGTTTACAAAAATGAAGATCTGCACCTATTTCAGCACAATAACCAGTGCCTTAATCCACCAGAACCATCTTTCGGGACATTTTATTGCAAGTGTAATACATTTTTTTATTTGGGCTCAAGTCTCCTTCATTAACACGGAGGAGGCGGGCTTTATGACTTGTACTGCAGCCAGCCCCCAGGGAGCGATCTAACGGCCAAGACCTTCACTCAAACGCAGGCTTGCGGCACACTTGGTAGCAGTGCGCTGATACACCAGCTTTTATGAGGAGACTGTTTTATTCAGCGTTCGATTTTAAAAGACGGAGTTTCATGAACTGGATTAGCCTGTCCGACTGTTAGTGAATGGCAAATGAAAACATCCCTTACCTCAAAACTCTGTGCATTATGAGAAAAAGAAAACACACTGTACAGACAGAAGTGCAACTTGCATTCATAATGATTTTTGCACACCAGCGCTACTTTAAACGTCTGATTTACTATACATTAAACGACACCTGTGTGTTACGAAGACAGAGTTAAGATGCCGTTTAGTGATGGGAAGTTCGGATCATTTTACTGACTCGGATCTTTGAGTCTTTTTTCGAGTCATTTCGTTCATTTGGTTCAATTTGCCAAAATATTATTAAAATATTACGAATTGCTTCCAAACACATCTACAACTAGCCTAAAAGGTTGATCACACGACAAATAAGTCATCAATAGAATACTATAAGAAGGAGAAAATAATAATTCGATGTTTACCTGCTCTTTTGTCTATGAAGGTATTGTTGTCTCTTTGCTCAGCTCACCTCTTCATGTCTTCAAATGTCAGTGGTTCGTTCACGTTACACTGACAGTCACATATAATCTAAACCAATGTACACAGTCTGAGTCGATAGGAGCCATGATAATTAGTTCACCATTCCAGTCTTCTGGTTCTTGAGTCGTTCGTTCATCACGTGACAGAATACCTCAAACCCGAGGACTCAAGAGATGAACGGTTCAATTCTTTTTCCAGCTTTAAGTGCATATTATCGGCCTGTGATGAACAACTGTCCCAGACCTGATAGAGGACTCGAGAGATGAACGGTTCAATTCTTTTTCCAGCTTTAAGTGCATATTATCGGCCTGTGATGAACAACTGTCCCAGACCTGATAGAGGACTCGAGAGATGAACGGTTCAATTCTTTTTCCAGCTTTAAGCGCATATTATCGGCCTGTGATGAACAACTGTCCCAGACCTGATAGAGGACTCGAGAGATGAACGGTTCAATTCTTTTTCCAGCTTTAAGCGCATATTATCGGCCTGTGATGAACAACTGTCCCAGACCTGATAGAGGATTCGAGAGATGAACGGTTCAATTCTTTTTCCGGCTCTAAAAGCATATGATTGGCCCGTGAGGAACGAATGACTCAGACCCGATAGAGGACTCGATAGATGAACGGTTCAATTCTTTTTTACATTTACATTTACATTTAGTCATTTAGCAGACGCTTTTATCCAAAGCGACTTACAAATGAATTTTTCCGGCTCTAAACGCGCATGATTGGCTTCTGCCTTTCCGCGATGAATGACTCAAAAGACTTGAAATGAACGATACCACCTGCACAAATGTGCGCACACGTGGATGAATGAATCACTCCCTGAGAGGACTCGTAGTTCCTGAGTCATATTGAAGATTCATTCAAAATGAAGGAATCGTTCATTTTGCCCAGTAGGCCTACCTTGTGTTTTATTCGCTAATTTAAGCTATTTTTTTTAAAAGATAACTATAATGTATAAAATTATAGATTATTTGTATTACTTCATAATATCTTTACGCCTGATAGCTTTTTATATTAATAGACAATGCACAGATATTGATGTTTCACAATGTTTTAGACCACATTATTTAAATCTACCAGGTTTAGTTTACAATGTTCTACTTACATTAAATAATAAACATTAACTTATTAATAATAACTTACATAAATATCAGAAATAACTAAGAAATAACTAATTAAGATTTAATAAATGTCAGTGTATTGATTAATGCACTTGAGAGATTTCATTCATTCATTAATTTTCCTTCAGTTTTTTCCCTGGTTTACCACAGGGGAATGAACCGCCACTTATTTGACAGATTTATGTATTTTTAATTTTAGGTGTTTAATGTTTGGTAAAATAATTTCTAATTGCATCTTTAGTGATTTTCAGCTAATTACACTGTCTTGTCTCAATAGGTGGATTTAGAGGTTTTTTTGCATAAAATGCACTGGTGGATTTAGCTGGTTTTGAGGCAAAAGAAAATCGACCTTGTTAAAAACCAAAGAATTGTCTAAAGTCACATTTGTGAAAAAAAAGTTATTTTTATTTACTAAAGAATAACCTTATCATTGCATATAAAATGAACCCAATCAGAGGAGCCTGATAGAAAATGCTCATCTACAAGAAAAGAGGTCTGATAGATTTAGAGGGGTTTACATCTGAACTCTTTATTTGGAGAAATGAAAAAATTTGTTTTAAATTTTGTAAACTTTTTTTCTTATTACAGGACAATCAAAAAAATATTTCCAAGGTACATCAGAGCACCAAGCGACTCCAATGCCAAACCTATTGACCAGCTTTACAACGGTAATACACCAGCTCACCACTACTATCTCTGACATACAGTATACAGTTGAAGTCAGAATTATTAGCTCTCCTGAATTATTAGTCCTCCAGTTTATTTTTCTCCCAATTTCTGTTTAGCTGAAAGAAGATTTTTGTCAACACATTTCTAAACACAATAGTTTTACTAACTCATTTCTAATAACCGATTTCTTTTATCTTTGCCCTGATGACAGTAAATAATATTTGACCAGATATTTTATTTAATGACTTGTATACAGCTTAAAGTGACATTTAAAGGCTTAACTAGGTTAATAAGTTAGGGTAATTAGGACAGTCATTGTATAAGAGTGGTTTGTTTTGTAGACAAAATTGGAAAAAAAAATTGCTTGAGGGGTCTAATAATTTTGACCTTAAAAATGATTTTAAAAAATTAATAACTGCTTTTATTCTAGCCGAAATAAAACAAATAAGACTTTCTCTAGAAGAAAAAATATTATAGGAAATACTGTGAAAATTTCTTTGCTCTGTTAAACATCATTTGGGAAATATTTAAAAAAGAAAATTCACAGGAGGGCGAATCATTCTGACTTCAACTGTTTATTGCTACATGTCTAACGCTATATGTGTTTCTTTCCTCAGATGGAGAGTACATGGACATCACACTGTTTTTAAATAAGAAGAACAGCTCAGAAGGCGTTCAGGAGTGGTGGATCGTCAATCAGACAGATTCAGGTCCATTACCTGGACTCAACGGGTCTGGTCTTCAGATCTACATCATCAGTGACCAAGTCAGTCCACCCAGTCTGGGCTTTCTGGCTGGTTATGGGTAAGTTAAAACCGTGATCATAGTTTACAAGTCTCAACTTATGTTGCTGTCCTCGTTTAGTCAATTAGAATATGATGTTTCATAAATTTGAACTCTGAAATATGGACTTTACTAGAACTATGTTAAGCTGCTTTGACACATCTACATTGTAAAACGCGCTATATAATTAAAATAAAACATGAATACATTCTTGTATGTATTTAACAGGATTTCACTTTAACTGCTCAATTTGTGATAGGAAATACAACTTCACCCATAATGATGTGCAAAGAATTCCAGCAATTAGAGATTTGCATCAGCTATCTATGACTCCATCTACTATAAATAGTTGTTCTCTACATGCTTTCATAACTTGGAACATATTGTTTGTTATGGCACTGCCATTTGCAGTGTTTCAAGAGATTATATTTAGCTGAAATCACAGAAATTACAATATTAAAATATATTAGTATTTACGGTGACCGGAAAGTGCAAAACAACAAAGCAAAGTAATGATTTTCAGCCACTAAAATCTTCCGATGAAAGATTGATGACTATTTTCAGTTTCATAAGGGAACTTTTACAGCATCGGTGATGAAGATTTTAATTAGTTTAACAACAAAACTCCGCTCTTCCGCCTAGTCTCTCCCTATATTGTTTACCATGCAGCTCTAAATATTCGCTCTGAAATAGCATGTCAGTTTGGCTTGCACGCAGCCAGACAAGCACTAGTCGTTTTTAACACATGAGAGAGGGTTCTTCTTTTGCTGTGCTCGTGTTTAAGTAGGCGTGGCTCTAGACGGCTGGGGAGGGACTGGAGCTGCGTCCCAAATGGCACACTATACACTATGCACTCATGCACTATGTACTTATGCACTTACACTCTCAGCAGGATAGTATATGTATGTAGTGGCGTCCCAAATGGAGCACTAATGTTTTTTTATGAAGAGGAAATTCAAACCGTTTCCCTGATGACGTTTGACGGTTGCCAAATCAGTGAAATAAACGACCAAATTATCAAATAATACCTGCCGTGAGTGTTGCCGCATTCACCATCAGGAGGCGCTATAATCACTCTCGTAGGAGAATTTTGCTTTCACAATCCAAAATAAATAAAGTTATTCAACATGTGCGTCCGATAGCTCCACCCCTTTCGCTACGTAAGCAAACCTGCGGTCGTTGAGTGCGTGAAGTGTTCATCATTACACACTTCATTTTAGCGGCTGAATGAGTGCATCATCCGGGTAATTAAAGCGCTCCTATTATTTTTAGAGTTTTCAGTGTGAACGCACTACTTACACTATTTATACTACAAAATGGCATAGAATAGTGCATAAGTATGCGATTTGGGACGCAGCTTGGGATTCAGAGATTTATGCTAAGCTGTTAGCATTGTGGAAGATCACCTACTGCACCTTTAAGTCGTGACTTATAAGTGACGTATGGAAGTCTGTTTCCAGGTCCAAGCCACTACTCATTTGAATTGAGAAAATATTTGTTTATGACCACTTTTTAGTCATGTCACAATTTAAAGTGAATTTTTCTACAAATGTATAAATAGTTAATCACTTTCTGGCCATCGGATATTAGGCATGAATATACTTATTGCGATAGGGATTTTCGAAAGTATTACATAGCTTTGTAAACCTTTATTATAAGCATTTGATGAATCTCCCCATACAGCTTGATACACTTAAAGGTGCAGTTGGTGATCTGCCAAAATGCTAACCGCTTAGCATATTATCTTTGGACGGCGGGGAGGGACTGTGATTCAAAGCCACACCCCCTAAAATCGTGAGCGCACGCGCACCGCGTCACAACAGCAGACAGACAACCCACTAGTTCATGTCATTCGCCAGTTAGTTAGTGCCAGCGCCGTGCAGGAATTACATGAAATACTTTGCCACACTTACATGCTATTTCAGAGCGAATATTCAGAGTAGCGGTAAACAGTATAGGAAGGCTATCATTGTTTAAAAATGACCCAATGTGAATATAAAAGCAACTTAAGCTCAAGCTAGGCGGAATAGCGCTATTTACTGATGCTTTGTTGTTAAACTAAATATAAATCTACATTATAGATGCTGTCAAAGAACCTTATGAAACTGAAAATAATCACATCAATCTTTCACCGGAAGATTTCAGTGGCTGAACAACACGTCTGTGCATATATATATTGTGTAGTATATTTATATTAATGGCTATTCCTACAAATATTTGCATGCAACTTAACTTGGTTTTGTGCTTCATTTAATTAACCCATGTTCATTGTTTTCATGGTGATCTGCGTGTGCACAGGATCATGGGTCTGTACATGTCAGTGGTTTTGGTGATCGGGAAGTTTGTGCGCGAGTTCTTCAGCGGGATCTCGCACACCATCATGTTCGAAGAGCTCCCTAACGTGGACCGAATCCTCAAACTCTGCACCGATATCTTCCTGGTCCGAGAGACGGGCGAACTGGACCTGGAGGAAGACCTTTACGCCAAACTCATCTTCCTCTACCGCTCTCCAGAAACCATGATCAAATGGACCAGAGAGAAGAGTGAGTAAAAATAAAAATGAAGACGAGAACAGAGAGAAGCTTCAAAGCTTATTTCAGCTCTTGAACTAGAAGATCCTCCAAACTAAGAGGGAGAAGCTTCCTGAATTCAGCTCTTGAACTGGAAGATCCTCCAAACTAACTGTCTCGGTATTGACGTTTTGATTTGAATTGAACAAGGAAAAGCTTCAAACCTGAATTCAGCTCTTGAACTAGAAGATCCTCAAAACTAACAGGGAGAAGCTTCAAACCTGAATCCAGCTCTTGAACTGGAATATCCTCCAAATAAACATGGAGTAGCTTCAATCCCGAATTCAGCTCCTGAACTGGAATATCCTCCAAACTAACATGGAGAATCTTCAACCCTGAATCCAGCTCTTGAACTGGAGAAGCGTATCTCTTCATGCTAACTGATGAAACATTAGCACTCACGATGTGTGGTTTTCGTCCACTCGCTAATGTTTTTAAAGGGCTTTGACAAAGGCATGCGCCACTTTGAATCTATTTGGACCTTTGGGAGTGCATGCGACGTGAGGATTTTCCCTCATGAGACTTTTGAACCGAAGCCATAGGTGGCGCTGTGAATCACGTGACAATCTCGATTTGCCTTATTTCCTTTGTACAATCAAACGCATCGTTACTCACTACTTTCTCAGGAATACATACGGATCATTTCATGACGACGGGATATCAACGTTTTTTTTTTTCCCTCACGTGCAACAAAGTGTGACCCAGGAGGAACGTTCTGTACGCTACAATAATACATTTTCTCCTTTGAGACTTTAAGGAGATTGTTTTTAATTTATAAACCTATGTGGGACATAACAAGGACTTTCAGTGTTTTATAAGACTTGAAGTGTAATTATTATTATTTTTACGTAACGAAAGGGAGATTATCATGCTAAAGTTACCAACGAATCAGTTTCAGCAACTCTGGATTGTTTTTTTCAGATTTATTCGTGAAACAGAACGAATGTTCAATGTGTTTTTGTTTATTTATTGATTCGTTCAAGTGATTTTATGAATGAGTTATATTGAAACTTGTTCAGAACTTATTTCGAAAATTTCTGCGTAAATACAGAATTTTATTTTTTATTTTGTAATTCCAAAAACTAGTTCATTTCATCATAAATCTAGATTATTTTTGACTATTTTTCCCTTAGAAATGTGTGAAATGTGCACAATTTTTTTTTATTAAACGTTTAATTCATATAAAAAACAAACAAATTATTTTATAAATTAATTAATTCAAACAAATATTTTTGGTAACACTTTATAATAACTAAACACTATAAATCATTTACTAAGCATTAGCATCTAGGGTATTCATTATTTGTTAAGCATTAACTCTACTTTAATAAACGTTAATAAGCAGTTTATAAATGCAGCTACAAATGCTCTATTATTGACTTATAAGCACCTATATAATGTGCTTATTAGTTGTATTTTCATACTTTGTTAATGATTTATTTTTCATTACTAAATTAAGTATCGCATTATTTACAAACCATTTGTGTTTAAGAGTAGTTGAGGGTTTTTAGAAAAACTCAGAATGAGTTAGTAAATGAATAAAAAACTATTGAAATCAACATTTATATATATCTTATTATTCAGGTATATATTAATAGTTAACTAATATGTTAATAAATGCTTTATTAACTCGACTTCATGCAGTTTTGTGACCTGATCTAAATTGAGAACTATTTTTGCTTTATAAATTCCTTATAAATGACAATTAAAGGCTCAGAATCAAATGAACAATAATCTTTGCAATCTTTCTAAAAAGTAAAATTACTGTAAAGTTTAAGCATTGCTGAATAACAGGAGTATCAAAATCTGACATCCAATTGGATAAAACAACAACAACAATATAATAATTTAACATTATAATAAGATTCAACGTTTAAACTCTACTGATTTAAGATAAGGTTGTAAAGATTTATTTTTTTATTTGAAGTACAGTTTAATTTGAATAATATAGTTTATGTCATTTTTCCTGTTTAGAATTTAACTGAGCCTTTAATTGTCATTTATAAGGGATTTATTAAGCATAAAAAGTCCCCACTTTAGATCAGGTCACAAAACTGCATGAAGTTGAGTTAATAAAGCATTTATTAACATACATAGTAACCATTAATATATGCCTGACAAATAAGACATAAATGTTGATTTCAATAGTTTATTAATCATTTACTAACTCATTCTGAATGATCCTAAAAATCCTCAACTACTCTTAAATACAACTGGTTTGTAAATAATGCGATACTTAATTTAGTAATGAAAAAAAAATCATTAACAAAGTATGAAAGTAAAATTATTAAGCACATTATAAATATGTTTGTAAGTCAAGAATAGAGCATTTGTAGCTGCAGTTATAAACTGCTAACTAACGCTTATTAATGTAGAGTTAATGCTTGACGGATAATGAATTCACTCTTTGCTAATGCTTAATAAATGATTTATAGTGTGTAGTTATTATAAAGTGTTACCATATTTTTAATTAATCGTGAATGTTTTGAATGTATGTCCAGGTTTTCTTTCAAAATTAATTTTTAAATGTAGTTTATTTATAAACTAATTTTGAGAGGATCACATGCTTATGATTGACCACAGCAGGTCCTGCATTAGCCAACACATGATTCACCAATCAGACGATTCCTAGCTCACTATAAAAAACCAAGTTTTTTACTTCAATTATCTTTGTCCTGAAGAATCCCCCCTTCCACCCCTATTTCTCCTCCCTTTTGCTTGATATGGTATGACAGCCCAGTGGTTAGCACTGTTGCCTCACAGCAAGAATGTCAATTGTTCAAGGCCTAACTAGGCCAGTCAACATTTACTTGCAGAGTTCAGATATTCTCCCCGTGCTTACATGGGTTTCCCCCGGGTTCCTCCCACAGTCCAAACACATGCAACATAAGTGAATTGACCAAAGCAAATTGGCACCATAGATGAGCTCCTAGTCAACAGTATATCTTTCCATAGCAATCCCTATAATCTGTTATAAGCCATAACTAAGCCAGGGGAGTTCTCCACACCTACCTGAGCTCAAACTCGCCTCTCACCCTTCAAACTGGAGGGAGCCCTGGCACTAGGATCTTTTTATTATTTTATTATTATTATTATTATTATTATCATTATAGATGTTTTAAGGCTGTAAAACCCCACACCTCACTCTTTATACGCTTTTCTCAGACAGGCAATAACATTTTCACACTTTTCTCTCTTGTTTAAACACTCTCAAAGCTCAAACCTTTGTAGAAAAAATATTCTAGTACTATAGAATGAAACCAAAGATCAAAACCTGTTGTCAGGCGCAAACGTTCATCGCTGTCAGCAAAAGGTTCATGTGTGGATAATGTTGGCATCCAGCATAATGTTCTTTATCCTGCAGTCACTGATCGACAAAGCAAAAGCAGACTCCATACTTAAGGGGGTCGCACACCGGATGTGCTGTGCACATGACAGTTGGAAGTAACACACACCAGACACGAACATTCGCATGTTATTTAAAATGAAATTATTCAGATGGCGCTCTGTAGCGCGGTTGAAATATTAACAGTGTACTAAGTTGTAGATTTACAAACAGTCTTGGAAGCTATCATGCATATTAATGAAGTTGCACCACATACACAATAGAGCGCGCTGATTGGTTTGAACAAAGTCTCATGAATTAATGCAGCACACTCGGAGTCGTCATGATGTACTCCCAGGTACAGGCACAAAGTTTACACGCTGGAATACACACAAGTATCTAATCGGCGTGACGCATTCGTTTCAAACCGGAAGAACGAATTTACTTGAAATAACGCAAAAACAACCAATTTTCACTTTTTAGTGAAATATATATGTCTTAATAGTGTTTATAGCAGCGTGGAACACATATACCACAAGCTCAAAAAATGTGTTTTGGTGTTACGTGACCCTTTACATTTTTTTACCGGAAATAGCAAACCATCCGGAAACCTCTGGCACACTCTTTTCAACATACTATGGTTTGGAACATACAAATTCTATTTTCAAATACTATTTAGGATGGATAGTATGCGGATTGAGACGCAGCACATTGGTATTTATAGTGAGCTAGGAATCATCTAATTGGTGAATCGTGTTGGCTAATGCGGGACCAGCTGTAGTCAATCATAAGCATGCGATCCTCCCAAAATTAGTTTAAAAATAAACTTCACTTAGAACAGAAATGAGTATTTTACTAAAGTTATTTACGCTAAATTATTTAGAAAGAATTCTGAACATTTCTCCGTTTTTTTTTTTTTTTTTTTTTCCATAAATCCAAATAATAAACCGTTAACACAGAAATCTGTCCAGAACAATTATTTCTTTGTATGTTTTATAAAAATCATGGGAGGAAAAGATTCATAAAATCACTTGAAAAATCACAATGCAACAGTGAAAATACTTTCAGAATATCTTAAACAGGTTGATTCTGGTTATTCCTGAAACTGAGCTGCTCTGCTCGTGTTTCATTAATGCATCATTATCAGCTCGTGTTGAAAGTAAATAATGAATATTAGATATTAACCGACGTTCTTGAGGGCATGATTGGTGGATTGGCAGATATTAAATACGCATTGGGAGTTGTTTATAAATTTGGAAGTAATCTCACTCACATTTGTACGACATACTTGTATTTATTTGAGCAATACGTCGGCGGGGAGATCCTAAAGGACTTTTTTTTTTGGTACACTTTTAGCAGCCATACTCAGGACAGAGCTTTGAGTGGATCAGGGTTTGCTGGATTTACTGTATGATGGGAGCCGGCCGGTCGGGTTGTGCCCATGCTTGAGGAAAATACATATTGTTTTGAGTCCATCTCTGAACTATGCATTAAAGACAATGTAGCATGAATGAAAAAAAAAATAATAATAATAATAATGTTTGACATGAAACGCTTTCATTACATTTTGTGTGCAGAACTTTTCTTGCAACATCACAGTGGGGGGGAAGGAAACTGTACCTGGATGACACAGGATTTGGGAGATTATTGACTTCAAATAAAGCACATGATGAATGGACAAAAGTGGACTTTTTTTGTTTTGTTTTTCACAAATAGAGTTGCAAATCAAATTTATTAGCCAATTAAAAAATTGT